AGATGAGGAGCTCTAATAGTATGACAATTGTCAATAAGAGAATATATATATATATATATATATATATATATATATATATATATATATATATATATATATATATATATATATATATATATATATGCTCAAACCCCGAATCCGATCCGGGTTTGCTTATGTCCTAAAAAATCCGATCTGGTCAAAATCCGATCCGGATCCAGTCAAAATTTGATCCGGTTCCAACCAAAATCCGAATCCGATTTGAAACCGGTTTAAACCAATTTTAATGGGTTTTAAGCGGATTTTGGGGAGGATTTGGATCCAGTTTTTAGTGAATCCGGTTTACGATCCGGTATTAAATCCGATTTGGAATATAGGATTACAATACGATGGAAAATCTGGTTTAAAATTTGATCCGATCGGGTTTGGTCAAAACTGGTTTTGACCTAATCCGGTTTTTGTGTGCATCTCTCTCTCTCTCTCTCTCTTTATATATATATAAGCTGATGTTCATTAGAGAACCAATATTATTCATTGAATTAAGGAATCAATTTTTTTTTTCAATTTTAAAAGTTGTTGTTTATCAAAAAAAAAAAATACTAAAATTCATAACTTTTGATTATTTTCCAATGATATCAAATTTGATAATTCCTTTTTCGTCAAATTGATAGTGTGAATATGTGGAGATTCACAATGTGAATATGAAGATATACGGTGAATTTCAAAGTATACAAGCATTCACAATGTGAAGTTATAAATGAATATATATATATATATATATATATATATATATATATATATATATATATATATATATATATATATAGGGTGAGTTTCAATAGTGAACCAATGAACCAACCGTGAATGTGAGAAATCATAATGATCAACGGGCAAGGAAATAGTTGTACACTTTTACATTGGTCGCACACATACCGGATTATACAAAAAAATCCACCTCTTTACCAAAAAAACTCACCTATTTTTTTCGTTTAAACTTTTTTAGGCCATTATTTTTTATCAAATAAAAAAATAAATAAATATACCATTATTTTCGATTTTCCATCCTCTTTCCATATATATCTATGTTGATTTATAAAAAATAAACTTTTTTTAACAAAAAGAAACTCAATTCATTTTGTTAGGTTTTTCAATATTTTATTTTATTTTTATCAAAACAATAATAATAATTATATAAAAAATACTAAGATTTGTACTCTATTAGTAAACATCGAAACCTATTTTAAAAAAAAACTCGAACAATATAGATTCACATTGTGAATCTAAATTGTAAATATTTCAATTTTTAACATTCACAATGTGAAAAAGCTCGAACAGTTCAGATTCACATTGTGAATCCGATTTACTATTTTATACACACTGTAAAACTGAGAAGCTTCACAAAAAAAAAAAAAAAAAAACTTCGAACAGTGTAGATTTACATTGTAAATTTAAACGGTAGATATTTCAATTTTTAACATTGACAATGTGAAAATATTCCGATCAGTTCAGATTCACACTGTGAATTTGACTTACTGTTATACAAACTATGAATCTGAGAAGGTTCACAATATGATTCTGAACAGTTTCACAATATGAATCTGAACAGGTTCACAAAGTGAATCTGAAGTAAAATATCGTTTTTTACATTAATATAAATCTATGTTTAAAAAGTATAAAAAAAAGACATGAATTTTGATATATTTATTAATTTTTTTCTATAAAAAAATACACCTTACATTTTCAACAAAGAAATTGAAGTCGGTTTTTTTTCAAAAAAGTTTGTTTTTTGTATATCATCATGTACCTCTTTGGAAAGAGGACGAAAAATCGTGAACAACGATATATTTTGTTTTTCCGATAAAAACATGACCAACAGAATATTTTAAACGAAAATAAAGAAGTGAGTTGTTTTATAATCCGGTGTATGTGCGTTAATTGTAAAAATCTACAACCTTTCTTTTGCTGTTGATCGCTTTAAATTTTGACGCTTTTAATTGTTTCTTTGGTTTCTTTATTAACAATGGTTCTCTATTGAATATATATATGTATATATATATATATATATATATATATAATATATATATATATATATATATATATATATATATATATATATATATATATATATATATATATATGGTTAGGTTATTTTGTTTTTGTTAAATATTGTGTGCCCATGTAAATGATTTTAGGCCAATCATTTGTGGTAATTTAAGAAAGTAATTTTCTTTTTAAATTAAATAGAAAAAAATCAAATAAATAGGCTTTAATCAATTGACCGGTCAAACAAGGGTAGAATGGTAGTTTGCCCCCATCATTTAATTAGGAAACGGTGGATAATATGGAATAATCAACCGATAATCCCAAATATCTCGCTTACTCTCATAATCAAGAACCCAAATCCTTAGGAGGTTGAAAAACATTCTGATTTATTGTAATCAATCTTCAAAAATCGGAAGATCGTTTGAAGGTTTTTCTTATAAATATCGACATTTAACCCTAGAAGACGGAATCGACATTTGGGGGCTTATATTAACGGTATTCTGCAACAATGAGGAGTACACGATCCAGTTCATTTAAGTCAAAGTTCAAGAACACATTAGAAACGACGTTGAATCTTGAAGACGACAATGAAGATTTCGTTGTTGAACCTGAAGGTAACAATTTTTTTGTGGTATTTAATGTTTATTTAGTTCGAAAAATATAGTAGAATTTAGGAAGTGTTTTTGAAATCTTTTATATGCATGTATGATTTGTGGTCTGGAAGAAAAATGTGTCATTTTTTCGTATTTTATTAAGAATCGTTACTGTGTATGTTATTATGCCAGAATGTTCTGTTTATATGAACGTGACCATGGTTGTTATTCTGATAGAATAAGTATACTTGTTTTATTGGTTAAAATTGTAAACTAAATTACTATATTTAAGTTGTTAGTTAGCTTTTTTTTACAGGTTTTAAATTCTAATGGAATCCCAGTTTGTATATTTAGTACCTAAAACTGAAAAAATCGTAGTGATTATATGTTGAATAAGGTTACGTGTTTCATATTCTAATAGAATGTTCAGTGTCTATGAACCTAAACATTATTGATATTCTGGTAGAATTGTAATCTAAATTTCTATATTTAAGTAGTTAATTAGCATTTTAAATTGAAAAAATCATAGTTCTTGTATGTGGAATAAGTATACATGTTTCATATTCTATTAGAATGTAATGTGTATAAGAACCTGAACATGGTTGATATTCTGATAGCATAAGTGTACTTGTTTTACTAGTTAACATTGTAAGCTAAATTTCTATACTGAAGCAGTTAATTAGCATTTTATACAGAATTTTAATTCTAATGGAATCACAGTTTGTAGATGATTAATGACTGAAACTGAAAAATTGATAGTTCTTGTATGTGGAATAAGTATACGTGTTTCATATTCTATTAGAATGTAATGTGTATAAGAACCTGAACGTGGGTGATATTCTGCTAGCATAAGTGTACTTATTTTACTAGTTAACATTATAAGCTGAATTTCTATACTGAAGTACTTAATTAGCATTTTATACTTAATTTTAATTCTAATGGAATCACAGTTTGTAGATGATTAATGACTGAAACTGAAAAGTTGATAGTTCCTGTATGTGGAATAAGGTTACATGTTTCATATTCTAATAGAATTTATGTGTATACGAACATGAACATGGCTGATATTCTGCTAGCATAAGTCTAGTTGTTTTACTAGTTAACATTGTACGCTAAATTTCTATATTGAAGTAGTTAATTAGCATTTTATACAGATTTTTAATTGTAATGGAATCACAGTTTGTAGATGATTAATGACTTCAACTGAAAAAATCATAGTTAACTTATGTGGAATAAGTTTACATGTTTCATATTCTAATAGAATGTTCTGTGTATATGAACCTAAAAATGGTTGATATTTTGCTAGCATAAGTCTACTTGTTTCACTATTTAACACTTCTAATAGAATGTTATATTATATATTAGTGTGAAATTCGATTGTATGAATCTGATAGAATTCGAAATTAAATGTATTTGATTCTTGTAGAATTAGCCTACTTGTTTTATTAGTTAACTTTGTAATGAAAATTTATCCGTGTAAGTAGGTAATTAGCATAGCATAAATATGTTAAATTGTAAGTGACTCAAACTTTGTAGATGATTAATGAATTAAACTGAAACAATCAAAATCTTATATATTGGAAAAGATTACGTGTTTAATATTCTAAAAGAATGTAATGTTGCATATGAGTGTGGATATGATTCTGGTATAATTCTGAATAAACAGTATTTGATTGTTGTAGAATAATTTATTTTTATATTTTGTTAGACTTTATTATATTATAATATATTTGTGTGATGTTAATGTTTTATTCTGTTTGAATCGTATTTTGTGTGTATGATGGTTTTGTTATAGAAATCAATTTTTAATCTGTTATAATATAAGAATATCTTAATTTATAAAACATTAATCCCAAATTATCTAATACTAAACATTATGCTATCTATTGTGTGTTGTATCAGAACAAATTCATGAAGAACATGTGAACCGAGAAAGAAGGTCAAAGAAAAAACTTGATAAATCAGTTGAACAAAAGACAACTCCTAAACCATTAAATGCACTACTTTTGGAAAGAGAGATAAGGTCGAAGAGGCAATTTGATAGAGTTCCAATTGTAAACATTTAAAAAATAATAAATTGCTGAATCTGTCAAAGAGGAAAAAGAAGATAATGTTAGAAAAATAAATAAGGAATACCCACCTGGTTTAAGATAACTTTGAACCAGAATGAAATGTGATAACATCACTACAGCTGTTATGGGAATGTCGCCGGAACAGAAACAAGCAATCTTAAGAATGGGTTTTGGATCAATTCTGCAAGTGAATATTACAAGTTATCCAGGACAACTAAGCTACTATCTTTTAGATGTTTATGATGCAGATAGTAAAAGACTTGTCCTACAAAACTCTGTTATTGAGATAACATAACAAACAGTGCATGATATGATGGGGTTGCCATTTGGTGGAGAAGACATCAATGAGTTACCATTGTGTGATAAGGGAAATGAAATTCTAGAAGAATGGAGGGGACAATATAGTGGTGATAAGTTCAATGGTGAGGAGTATTTAAGAAGGATTCAGTCGACAACAAAGGCTAATTTGATGTTTAGGCTGAAATTTTTGACCCTATTTGTTAACAACTTCATAGAGTCAATGTTGATGGGAACAAATCGAATAAAAGTGGTAAGGAAGTTGGTGTTGGTAGAAGACTTTTCAAAGTTAAATTGGTGTATCAGTAATTTTAAGCTCCTCCAACATCTGACGCCACACATTCTCGAATTCATGTGGTTCCAGCTTAGAATTCCAAATTATAGAGTGAAAACGCTTTCGAAATTTTTGATTGGTTGTTGCATCTTCAATTGATAAAATCTGTATAAATTCATTCCGTTAGAATATGATATCATAAAGGTAGAATATGAAAAATAATTGTAGAACTATATCAAAAGTAAGAGTTAAACTAATTGATTCTGTCAGAATATGAGGTAATTGTAGAATCATAACAAAAAGTAAGAGTTAAAGACACTGATTTTGTTAGAATGAATTGATTCTGGTAGAATATGAGATAATGAATGTAGAATTTTAAAAAATCATTGAAGAATGATAAGAAAAATTAAGAGTTAATGCAATTGATTCTGTTTAAAACAAAATATTCTGGTAGAATATGAGAAAATAATTGTAGAATCATGCCAAAAAAATAAGAATAATATTCGTTTTAAGCATACCTTATTTGGCAACTTCTTCGTTATATGCTACATACATAACCTATGATGTGCCAATGGGAAAACATTATCTATAGCTTTTTTCAAAGTTGGATCTTGATCAGATAAAACCAATTGAGGTTGTTTTCTAAAAGCTTTAAAAAAAGCTCTAAGCAACCATTCATAAGAAACTCCATCTTCTTTACTTAAAAGACCAGCACCAAATGTTACACATTTTTTGTGATTATCGATGCCAATAAACGAAACAAAAACCATATCATACCTAATTAAAAGATAAAATATTAGTTTACATAACTGAAAATAATGAAATTCTTATTGAAAAGTATTAAAGGTTATAAATACTTATTCATGCTGAATGTGGCATCGAGTGATACAACGTCTCCGAATGAATTGTAATTATACTTTGCTGTTTCGTCAGCCCAGAATAAAGAATTCAATCTCTTGTTCGACACTTTATACTCAAAAGTAAATGATGGGACATTTTTCTTCCTGTCATTCATCTTGTCAACAAGGAATTTCGCGTCCCTCCCACCTATGTAACAATTAAGATTCCTCCTAGCATTCTTGAAATCAGTAACCAATCCACCTCGAACGGAAGGACCAACCTAAAGAGCACTATACAGTCTATGTGCTTTTACAGGACCAATGTTTTGTTTTGACAAATTATGAATGAAAATTTCTTGGGACTAATCAAGTTTTCTTTTTGAACGAGATAAGTGCATATTGCCTTTGCTAAACAACTCATGATTATATCACTCTACAAAATCACTCACAACATATGTAAGAGTACCGAGAATTATTTCTAAAACAACTTTCGCTTTACAATTCCTCCTAAATAAATCTTTCCTTCTTTGAGTCTTTTTATGTTGAATATCTAGAGTATTTAGTTTACTAGTATTCGGATTACCTTCCCGATTGCACACAAGATGTCTATTTGTAATAATCCCATTTTTCATTTTTTGGACTCTTCCAAGTCTGACATCAAAACCAGATTCTAATGCATATTTTCTATACATTGTTTCTGCTTCACCATATGAATTAAATTTTGATAAAACTTTTGGTTTGATGTCGTCTAAAACAATCAGAGTCCAATACAAGGTGCCACCAGGAGAAACATAATCATGAGTAACATGTGGTTGTCCTGCTTAAACATAGCAAATACAAAATTATTCTGAAAGAATTATATAAATTTTATTCTGACACAATTTTATTTTTTCTGTAAAAATTAAAATATACTGAATTGAATTTAGTACCTTCACTGAAATCAATATTAAACTCTGTATCTTCATGAGGAACATGTAGTTTTCCTGTTTAAAATAGCAAATACATAATCATTCTGAAAGAATTATATAAATATTATTCTGAAAGCATTAACTTTTTTCTGTAACAACTTTAGTATCCTGAATTGAACTTAGTACCTTCACTGTAATCAATATTAATATATCTTCATCAACGAAGTGATTTTCGTCTTCATCATTATTTGCGTCCTTTGTATGTTCAGCAATGAAAATATTAACATTTAACATTAAACATGTTTGTTACAATATAGAATCTGAAAATAGAATGAAAAATAAAACAAAATATCAAAAAACTAACCTAAATTAGGATTACTGCTTTCTCCTGTTTGAAATCCGTCATTATATAGTGTATCATTATCAGGAAAATCAAAATCCTCAATTCCATTGTCATCATCACTAGCCAAATAATGTTACTCATAAATATGATTATTGACATTTGGTTCTTGATCGCCCATTGCTAAGAAATTCCGAGAGTGTTTGTATATGCTTTGTTAGTTGAAAAATTAAAATATTTAAAAATGTCATACAAACTAGATAGGGATGAAAACGGATTCTATGCAAATTAAAAACCTTGATATTAGGGATCATTGATAAAAATAAATGATTCCGATTTGATTTTTTTAAAAAACATGATAAAGGAAAAAATATTCATACGGTACTATATTCAAATTCTAAATATACAAAATTCCAACAGTACATTATATTAACTACTTAACAATATTATTATGTATTTTTTTTAAAGAAAAATTGCAGAATATTTTATTGACGAAATTATTCTATTAGAATGTTGTATAAATATGCATTAAAAAACTCTGCATGTTATCGGAATGAAATAATTCTATTAGAATACTATAGCAAATATAACTTATAAAATATATCAATTTTTGTTAACTTGAATCAATGCACGCATTAATAATTTTTGTTAATTCGAATCTACTCTGATATTCTGTTGGAATGATAACCTGTATGATCATATAACACATAAATATAGTAGAGAACACGAACATCTTATTAATTTTAACCATAATACTTAAAGAAAGACACATAAAATTCATCAAACGACCACTTTATTACACTGAACTGAAACTCGATAATACCATATAATTCATCAAAAATTACTTTTATTTTACTGAAATCAAACTAAATAATATCTAAAAACGACCAATTTGATGAAGTTCTTGTAGTTCTATTATTTCTTCAATCCGAAAGGACAATTCCTGCTATCATGACCAACTCCAAAGCATGTTTTACATCTTCTTATTTTCTTTACAACTTGATTCACCGGATTCTTGGGATCATTGACATTACCTAAATCCTTCCCGGGATTTTGATCATCGTTTTCCTGGAAGATTATCAGATTTAATACATCTGTATATATAAAAACAGTAAAAGGGTGTGTGGGGGACGTTTGAAACAATATCAGGATTATCGTTGACAGATGCTTGCAAATATGTAGCAATACCTGGTTCTGATTTCCAGTATGAACATCTATCGAAGGAGTAACACAAATTGATCGGCAGGTTATGTATTCAACAATTGTGATCTGTGTTTGTGGATCAGACGTTAAAATCGATTATATAGAGAAAATTACATTAAAGATAAATAAATCAATCATAAAATATTGCCTAATATAAAGGGATAAGATTCAGAATAAATAAGGAATTAAAATGAAAGATTACATAATTACCCTCATGTATTAAAAAAATTAATTAATAATTTGCCAAATTGTGATTGGTGGATTTAAGCACACAATACTTGTTAAAAACATTTGAACCTAACACTCTCTCTCCCTTCCCCTCTCTCTCTCTCTCTCTATATATATATATAATAATAATAATAATAATAATAATAATAATAATAATAATAATAATAATAAGGAATAGTTATATAAATAAATGAAAATTAAATTATATAATTTGTGGCTGTAGTTTGTAGTCCGTGAAGCTCCATGCCATCCATTAACCCATAGGCTTTTCTACGCCTACCATTTTCTTACAAAACGCCAAAACCCGTACATAGTTTTTTTAACAAGGTTTCTATTTGATTATTTTTCTTTTTTTGTTAAATATTCTTAATAACACATATATTAATATATTAAGTTAATAAAGCCATATACATTATCTGGATAAAAAAAATTGAATTTTTTTGCGGATAATCAAGATGTTTGTGAGCGTTAGATTGTGGCTTATTTGTTGGTCCCGCGTAATGTTATTCCAAGGTTGACATAACGTTGCACAAAGGTAGGTAAACAATGTTGGATAAGGTAACATATTATTGTCGTTATAAAAATGGTCGACATATAGTGACAATTAATGTCGACATATAGTTATTGATGTATGGAAATCTCGAGCAAACCATACGTGCATGAAAATATAGAACACTGTAATATGTAGAAGACCAAGTTTTTATACGGTGGTGACAGTCGTGGATGCTTTGAAAGGTGTTTCAATAATCAATTATCAAAAGATAATTTGTATGTTGAAAGTAAAGCTTCGACATTGGTTTATCATTTCACATTAACACAAGATGTGTCATTTACCGACCATGTGTTGGTTATTGTAGGTAGGTTAATGAGGGTTATAGTGATGCATTCGTCAATCAACAGAACCTAAATTGTATTTTGTATGAGTGTTCGTTATATTTTCCGAATTTTACTCCCTATTAAATTCTTGTCCTAACATACCATTGTACGATTGCTTAATCCTTTTGGGAAATCATTTCATTTTACATTGCATATCTGTTTCTGTTTTTAGATCTAGTTTTTCTTAAATAAAATTCATTCTCAAGTTGTGCTGCTAAATTCGTTTTATGGTAAAGTCAATTTTTTTGAAGACTACATCCATAGATCTAGAGGATATAACATTGTCATGCATGATCTTTTGTACTCTAATAAGATGCTCCACCGCATCCGGTGCAAAGAATCAAATGTATCAAATACAAATGATATGAACACGTGTTGATTTTCTACGCACGGTTTCTTATGTTTGATGTCCTTGCATTTAGCTTTTTTTAATGCAGTATATCCCGTCTTGAAACCACCGGCCGTCAAACCTATGAGAGGGGATATCCCTGTAAGGTCCACACATACGTATTTCCCTCCAACCAATCTAAAAATCAAAACATCAGCCGATTTAAGGGTTGACCTTCCTTTTGTCGGGTCAGACAAGAAATTTATAGGAGCCTCTTTCTTGGCGGAAACCTAGATACGTTTACATATGTCGACCAAAACATCACTGGTCATATCGTGCCTGTATTGGAACCCCGAGAGTTCTTTGTAATGAAAAATTCAATATTCAAGTACTCTAGAATGCAAAAAATACTGTTGGATGAAACATCATAGCACCAACGCTTATTTCATAAGAATGTGATCAATGGGTGACTAGGATTCAAAATTACTTTTATGTTCTTGATGAAGAAATTTGCAGATCGATTGAGGTTGGACCACCTAATAGAAATGCTTCAAATATCATGAAATAACTCTCATAGTAGAAAAGATGAAGATTCAGATTGATATCCGTTGTAAAAGAGATATACTAAACATATTTTTGATGGGTTTTCAACATTCTAACACTTCCTAAGTGTACATGCAACCCTAATAACCTTGAATCTATGTTTTCTCTATATACATGCAAATTTCTTTTTCAAGGTTATCTTCTAACTCGCATGGCATGGGGAATAAATAAAATATAAAACTAGTAAAAATACATACCTTGATGTTGCTTGGATTCCTTCAAGACTTTTTGAGCCTAGCACCCCAAATGTTGTGCCTCAAATGCTTCACCCAACACCACAAAAGTTAGAATAACTTGAGAGAATACTTCTAGCACTAAAAATCGGTTATTCCCTCTCTAGTAACACTAGGTCACCATTTTGCTAGCCAAAGGGTTCCTTTTATAGTGGTGTCACAATTAGGGTTTCATTAAGAAGACCTATAATTGTCATGACTCTTCATTTCTCATGACCCATGGGTTTGTAACTCCCATGGACTATCCATGGAGCTCCAAATGGTTACATCCATAACCCATAAACCATGGATCATTAATCCACCATAAAAGAAATGATGATTGTCATAATCAACCCTATATATTTAATTAGTCTTATTTTGATTACCAAATTAATACTAGATTAATACTTGATCAATACTAATTAAATAACACTATTATTAATATATTAGAACTTATAATATATTAATAATCATAAGTGCCATATTCTCTCATTTAGTCTATCCAAGTATTGCAATGCCATGCAACCCAAATGGATCATGCCGAGTCGGGTCAAGTTCATACCAAATAAAGTTATGGACTTAGACACTATAATCAACAGTCTCCCACTTGGATAAGTCTAATAACTATATTTGCAAATATGACTTCAAAACCCGACTAGCAATCGTAGCTCTTTCAAAGTCTCTCGGAACTGAGATGATGATGATACGTCATTTAAAATAAGCGATCATATAATCCTCTGCTCTCATGATATCAGCCGGACAAACACATTGAACATGGTCTTACTTATTCTCTAGCATTTGTTTCTCAATCTCCGATTTGTTTCAACATAGAACTAAATTGAACACATCAATTAGGTTCTAACCGGGCCCGGTACATAGGTCAAAACCAAATCATCGAGGGGCCCAGATATCGCTTCTACTTCTAGAAGGAACAAATAAACTTCGACTGATATGCTTGTACTAACTACTTTTTGAATTACTCACAAAGGCACGTTTTATAACATCGAGTTACCAATGCGTTTTCGTACAATCAATGAATAACCAACTCATAGTCAACAACTCATATCTCTAGGTTTAAAGATTTATATTATATTACCGTCTCACGATCACTCGAGATAAATTCCATGAAGTGATGCAAGCGAGCGTGGGTTGAATCCAATACCCAACCCTTATGAGTACTCATGAATGTTGTAGCAACCATCGCATTGTCTAAAGCACTTTAGACAAATCGTACAAGCCAAATTCATGACAGTCTTGATTCATATCTACTTCAACATATGACTGACTGTGGATGGTTTGAATAATATGATATATACCATAACATAATTATTCTGGAAGTCAAAACATGCAAAGTGAAACACAAGAATAATACTAATCTTATATGACCCTAACACTTTGAGTGTAAATAAAACACCTTTTATTTAAGCACCATATTGATTACTCATTATTTATGTTTCAATTAATCAACTTTATGCTTGAATTAAAACATTAGTTGTCCCATGCTCCACGCATGTACACTATGGTTTTCCAAACAACAATTATGCCATACTCCAAGTATGCGTACTATGTTTACATATGGTCCTCTCTTTTTGAAATAGATCAATTGACAATATTCCAATGATGCTCATTTCACAATTCCAATCCTTGTTGTAAATGCAAGAATACCAAACTCTTTCCATTTACTGTAATTTGTTAGATTCTAAACTTATATGCAATGATCCCCTTGTAATGAATATGCATAGAAGTCACGAAGACTTGGCAATAGACATTACAAAGCATTCCAATGGAAAACAATTCCATGGAAATGAAGTCTCAAATTCAAAGTACATTCGTTTGAACATCCTTCTTAGCATTAAAATCTTTAATCTTACACAGATTCAAAGAATAACTTCCACCTATGGAGACAATTCCATATTACCATTTTGACCATCACATCTGAACAAGAGTTTCCTATTTTCAAAATATGTCAATATGGTCCTTACTCTATAGTTCTAATTATCAATGAGCAACCAATCTTTGGTAAACCTTAGATTGTCCTCGACAATTTGCTTAATCATTTTAGTCATTTCCAGTTCTATTCCTTTTTCCCTTCTTAACGCCCTAAGCATTAGGAAAATTTAGAATGGATGAATATTATAGTACATGCAATCGATACTATATCCGAAGCATATGGGAGACGATTCATGCTATAAAATTTTTATTTGCCATGTTCTCAAAATTCGAACTATAAAGTGGTATGCCATAATCATAATCGAATTTTGAGAACGCAACATATCTAGAAATTCCTTATGTTGAACAATTCAACATAACATTCATATATATCCTTCACTAAAGTAGATAAAACCCAATCTAAGCTGGTAGAATTGGAACGAAGTATAAAATCCTCTCCCTTAGTTATAGCAAAATAGTTTTTTCAAGGCAAATTGAAACTTTTGTTTTCTATAATTAATATTACTAACTTGCAATACTTAACATAATCATCATGCTCCCACTAGCCTAATGATTACCAGCATAACACTTTATGCTCCCACTAGCATAATGATTACAATCATAACACTTTATGCTCCCACTAGCTTTGACATGTACTCAGAAATCAACTGGACTTCTAGAAATCAATACTTTATTGACTTTCTTACCAAAGTTCATATTTCTAATACTAGATTGCTTTGATAAGACTTTATAAAATACATACACCTTTCCTTAGATAACTCACATGTTTGTCTAGACCTTTTGCAATTCTCACTAGTTAGTGTGCCGGTTAACCACACACGCTCCACTAACTATTTGGGAATGCAAATATCACAACCGCTATCTACTTAAAATCTTCTTAATGGAAGAATTTCCTTACCATCATTTTCATGAATCGAAGAGAAACCTTATGACACTTAGATTTTATGGTGTACGTTTTCCTTTTCCATGTGAATTTTTTGTCAAAACCATAATCACAGAACTAGGTTAGTGACACTTCCAAATTCATATGGACTGCGCTTGTGCAATCTTAATTTCTTGCCACCTGGTAGCACAATGCCCACCATTGCTTCCGGGTTGTTATGCAAACAATTGAGAACTCATAGAACTCACAAGCATAATCAACTTTCAACTGGAATAGACACATAAATAAGAATATATCAACACAATAGGTTACAAAACTCAATTCGTGGGCTAGTGATTAACAAAACTCTTGATTAATCCTTGAAACTATTTCAGAATCATTTAGACTCCCACTGTCCTCTTGACATATAAGACTTCTCTTGTCAAGAACCATTCCTTGACAATACAAATATTCAAGAGTTAGTGCGGATTCTTATCAAGTTAAACACTTCCCATAATTGGACTTAGTTGGTCTTTGTTTTATCGAAAACATTAGAACTAACCAACCTCAAATGTACAAGAGTAGGACATATATTACTCTACATTTTATAAGTGTTATAAACTTTCTAAAGATTATGTCACTCAATGGCTCAATCTTGGAGTATGACTCTAAGATTTAATTTTGATGTATGATTTATCTTTTGATTTAACCATTTCAACAACTCATAATTCCTCTCCTTAGCCAATCAAATGAACTAAGGTGTCCTTAGAGGATCAATTGTGATATGGTTTCATAATCACTACGATAATCATAAAACAAAATACACAAGTACTCTCCCATCTCTTCAGATTGGAGAAACATTTATCTTTCTGCCTTATATGATTCTTGTTATTCATTCTGCCATACATTGAAACTTTTCCAATGTTTTAGAATTACACTTAAACTCGTAAGCATAACCATATTTACTAAACTTTAGTAAATCATAATGAATAATCTTATCAAACTTTGTGGTGGACCTGACCAACACACAACCAAGTGTACCGAATCTCTTAGTCCTTCGCTTGACTCACATGCGAATGTGAACAAGGAATTAGTCTTAATTTACCAAATATGAAAATTCTCATTCATCACACAATATAACTTGCATGAT